GGCAAACTTCAGACTGGCCTGAACATTTGCTTTCTTGAGCAGGGGGAGCTTGCGGGCACTGCAGGATTTCAATCCTTCACGTTGTAGTGTGTTACCAATTGTTTTCTTGGTGACTATAGTCCCAGCTGCCTTGAGATCCTTAACAAGATCCTCCCGTATAGTTCTGGGCTGATTCCTCACTGTTCTCATTATCACTGAAACTCCACGAGGTGATATCTTGCAGACCAAGGGAGACTGACAGTTATTTTGTGTTTCTTCCATTTGCAAATAATCGCACCAACTGTTGTCAGCTTCTCACCAAGCTGCTTAGTGATGGTCTTGTAGCCCATTCCAGCCTTGTTAAGGTCTACAATATTGTCCCTGACATACTTGGACAGCTCTTTAAGTCTTGAACATTGTGGTGAGTTTGGAATCTGATTGATTGCTTCTGTGGACAGGTGTATTTTATACAGGTAATGAGCTGAGTTTAGGAGCACTCCCTTTAAGAGAGTGCTCCTAATCTCAGCTCTTTACCTGTATAAAAGACACCTAGGAGCCAGAAATCTTCCTGATTGATAGGGGATCAAATACTTATTTCACTCATGGACATTTAAATCAATGTATAACTTTTTTGATATGCGTTTTTCTGGTTATTCTGTCTCTCACTGTTAAAATACACCTACCATTAACATAATAGACTGATCATTTCTTTGTCAGTGGACAAACGTCCAAAATGAGCAGGGGATCAAATACTTTTTTCCCTCACTGTATATGCTACACTAGAAATCTCACTTTTAAACTCAATAACACTTGTGGCCTTAATTATATTAGAACAAAATCACTACACAAAAAGATAAAACACACATAGTTCCCCGCTTTCCATCTCGATCTGGCTGGTTCAGTCTCCAAGATCATATGCTAGGTATTTGATCCCTCCTCTTCAGACTTTCTCAAAGGAACTATGGTGACTATACACTTACAGAAGCCAGGACTCAGAGACCTAAAAAAGCTGTGATTCTTTAAAGAAACACTTTGGTGTTGGTAATAAACAGACGTATTCCTAACACTATGCTGTCCCCTCTGTGCCCCTCACATACATGAGACGGTAAAAAAATAACAATTTTGGGCTGTTGCCTGAGTGTCCATGTAGATAGACGTGCAGGTAGGAGCTCCGTGCCGCAACTGCACTGTTAATTAACTTATCTGCCGATTTGAAAAGGTCCCGGCAGGAGGATAGTCCGAGGACAGCCCGATGACTTTCTTCTACATCCCACACTACCTTACTCCTGATGGTCCCAATGAAAGCTTAGCAAAAAAAAAAAGCGAAGTCCAAGGGGGGGCCTCTGTCTCTGTATCGGTTGTACCGGCTTTATCCAGCCGAGCAAGAGACCGCCGAATGAGCTGGAAGTGCTACAAGCCCAAACACTGACGATGGAGGAGGGAGACGCTGATAAGGGGCGGTCAGATGCCTCTGCAGCCTGCTCTGAGGATACTGCAACAGATGAGAGCAGAAATGGAAAGAAACATCAGGAAAATACAGCTGGAGATTCAATCACTGGGAGCCAGGACAGCCAAGCTGGAGGGTAGGATGGAGGCTGTAGTCAAGGCTAATAATACACTTCAATTATATAACTCTGAGTGGGGGTCTCGAATGGATGCATTGGAGTCAGCTTTTAAAGACCTTATTAATAGGTTAATGTGTAATAATATTCGGATACGTGGAGTGCCAGAAGTTGTTGCGGAGGGTCCTGTCCTGAATAATGTACTGGAAATTTTTAAACCTCTGCTACCCGAGATACCTGAAGCAAAGTGGTAGATAGATAGATAGATAGAGATCACATTTTTCAAGATCTTTTACCAACTACATCACCTATGCTCACATCAGATTCCCTATGCATGGAGTCATCCTTTCAAAACATCTGGGGAACCTAAGAAATTTTTACGAGCTCTAAGGTTACAGGAAACAGATGGGATTATGGCACTGGTTGCACCTACAGACTTACCTGTTCCCTTACCGAGGGAATGGTATGAGGTTGGGGAACCTTAAGGACTTAGGGTGTGGAGTGTGGGGGAATCTTTTGAATGTTTGATTTATGTTTTCATGGCGACTTAAAAGCGTTCCTTATTTAATATGATTATGAGGGAGATATAAACTCTACTAAATTTCCAATACGGAGTTTAGTTAATCTTCCTCTTCTTCTTCTCTTTTCATCCCCCCTTCTAAATAAATAAAATTAGGCTCACTTTGTGGTATAAATTTTTTTTTTCTTTTTTCCCCCCCTTAATTTGTTACCAATGCAGGATTTAGGTGGCTGAAATATCTCCCTTTCTTTGGGGGTGGAGGGAGGAGGAATGGAAAGGGAAAAGGGTAAAAGAAAGAAGGAAAGGGAAAGGACAAGGATAAAAGGAAAGGTAAAGAGGGATAGCGTAAGAGGAATGGGGGAGTAAAAGGGGATAAGGAAGAAGAAAAAGGGAAGGGAAAATTAAGGAAAGGGCAAGGGAGAGAAGGGAAAAAAAGGAAAATATAAGTAAAAGGAAAGGGGCAGGCTATTTATACATCTTGACAACTTCTGTATATATACACTAGCACATTTAGTTTAGGAATTTAAAATCAATGTAGTGTGATAAAGAACACAAATGTCAGAAAATTTATTCATACTTCATTCATAATTTTCTTTTCCTGGCTATTATTCATGGCAGCATTTAACCAGGGGCAGACTGACCACTCTGGCATATCGGTCATGGACCGAGGGCCTGAGGCAGTCAGGGGCCCGGCAGCAAAGCCATGCTCAAGCTTGAGAGATCAGAGATCTCTCCAACTGGAACGGCAAAAAATAATAAAATAAAACTATTTAATTGATAGGTTGTGGGGCCCCTGATGCAGCGCGGGGCCCCACAACCTACCGCTCTGTAAATCACCCCCCCACCCTCACATGAGACCTGGCAGCTTCACCGCTTCTCTGACAGGTCTCCTGCTTCCTGTCCCGCGGTGCTCTGTGTGATGGGAGAGGCGGGGCCAGGAAGTGACATCACTTCCTGTTTACTCCTCTCACACAGAGCCGATCAGCCAGCAGGGGAAGGAGCAGCAGCCTGGGACAGAAGAGGAAGCAGAGAGACAGGTAGGCACTAGTAACCCCCCCCACTGTGTCACTAGTCACCCCCCACTGTGTCACTAGTCACCCCCTCACTGTGTCACTAGTCACCCCCCCTCACTGTCACTAGTCACCCCCCACCGTCACTAGTCATCACTGTCACTCCCCTCACTGTCACTAGTCACCCCTCACTGTCACTAGTCACCCCCCCACTGTGTCACTAGTCACCCCCACTGTGTCACTAGTCACCCCTTCCCTCCCTCACTTTGTCACTAGTCACCCCCTCCCTCTGTCACAGTCACCCCCACTGTGTCACTTCAGTCACCCTCACTGTGTCATTAGTCACCCCCATCACTAGTCACCTCTCACTGTGTCACTAGTCACCCCACTGTGTCACTAGTCACTCCTCACTGTGTCAGCTGTCACTCCCACTGTGTCACTAGTCATTCCCACACTGTGTCAGCCTGTCACCCCCACCGTGTCACTAGTCACCCCCTCACTTTGTCACTAGGCAACCCCCCACTGTTTCACTAGTCACTCCCTCACTGTGTCACTAGTCACCCCCCACTGTGTCACTAGTAACCCTCACTCTGTCACTAGTCACCCCTTCCCTCACTCTCTCTGTCACCCCTTCCCTCCCTCACTTTGTCACTAGTCACCCCTTCCCTCCCTTACTCTGTCACTAGTCACGTCCTCCCTCACTCTGTCACTAGTCACCCCCTCCCTCTGTCACTGGTCATGCCCTCCCTCACTCTGTCACTAGTCACCCACTCACTCTAGTGACAGTGTGAGGGAGAGGGTGACTAGTGACAGAGGGAGGAGGTGACTAGTGACAGAGTGAGGGGATGACTAGTGACAGAGGGAGGGATGGGGTGACACAGTGACAGAGGGAGGGATGGGGTGACACAGTGACAGAGTGAGGGGATGACTAGTGACAGAGTTAGGGAGGGAGTGACTAGTGACAGAGGGAGGGATGGGGTGACTAGTGACAGTCACCACCTCCCTCACTCTGTCACTAGTCACCATCTCCCTCCCTCTGTCACTAGTCACCACCTCCCTCATTCTGTGACAGAGTGAGGGAGGTGGTGACTAGTGACAGTCACCACCTCCCTCACTCTGTCACTAGTCACCACCTCCCTCACTCTGTCACCAGTCACCCCCTCACTCTGTCACTAGTCACCCCTTCCTTCCCTCACTCTGCCACTAGTCACCCCTTCCCTCACTCTGTCACCCCCTCACTCTGTCACTAGTCACCCTCTCACTCTAGTGACAGAGTGAGGGAGGGTGTGATAGTGACATAGAGAGGGAGGGGGTGACTAGTGACAGTGAGGAAGGGGGTGAGTAGTGATAGAGGGAGGAGTGACTAGGGACAGAGTCACCACCTCCCTTACTCTGTCACTAGTCACCACCTCCCTCACTCTGTCACCAGTCATCCCCTCACTCTGCCACTAGTCACCCCTTCCCTCACTCTGTCACTAGTCACCCACTGCCTCCCTCACTCTGTCACTAGTCATCCCCTTCCTTACTGTCACTAGGGAGTGGGTGACTAGTGACAGAGTGAGGAAGGGGGTGACACAATGACAGAGTGAGGGAGGGGGTGACTAGTGACAGAGTGAAGGAGGTGGTGACTGTCACTAGTCACCCCGTCCCTCCCTCTGTCACTAATCACAACCTCCCTCACTCTATCAGTAGTCACCCCCTCCCTCTCTCTGTCACTAGTCACCCCCTCTCTCACTCTGTCACTAGTAACCCCTTCCTTCTCTCACTCTGCCACTAGTCACCCCTTCCCTCACTCTGTCACCTGTCACCCCCTCACTCTGTCACTAGTCACCCCCTCACTCTAGTGATAGAGTGAGGGAGGGTGTGACTAGTGACAGAGAGGGAGGGTGTGACTAGTGACAGTGAGGAAGGGTGTGACTAGTGACAGTGAGGAAGGGTGTGACTAGTGACAGAGTGAGGGAGGGTGTGATTAGTGACAGAGTGAGGGAGGGTGTGACTAGTGACAGAGAGAGGGAGGGGGTGACTAGTGACAGAGGGAGGGAAGGGGTGACTAGTGACAGAGTGAGGGAGGTGGTGATTAGTGACAGAGGGAGGGATGGGGTGACTAGTGACAGTCACCATCTCCTTCACTCTGTCACTAGTCACGCCCTCTCTCACTCTGTCACTGTGTCACCCCCTTCACTCACTCCCTCACTCTGTCACTAGTCACCCCTCTCTCACACTGTCACCAGTCATTCCCTCACTCTGTCACCAGTCATCCCTTCCTTCCCTCACTTTGCCACTAGTCATCCCTTCCCTCACTCTGTCACCAGTCATCCCATCACTCTGTCACCAGTCACCTCTTCCTTCCTTCACAGTGAGTTAGGGAGAGTTAGGGAGGGAGTGACTAGTGACAGAGAGAGGGATGGGGTCACTAGTGACAGAGTGAGGAAGGGGGTGACTAGGGACAGAGGGGGTGATTAGTGACAGAGTGAGTGAGGGGGTGACTAGTGACAGAGTGAGGGAGCGGGTGACACAGTGACAGAGTTAGGGAGGGAGTGACTAGTGACAGAGAGAAGGATGGGGTGACTAGTGACAGTCACCCCCTCCCTCACTCTGTCACTAGTCACTACCTCCCTCTGTCACTAGTCACTCCCTCCCTCTGTCACTAGTCACTCCCTCACTCTGTCACCAGTCATCCCCTCACTCTGTCACTAGTCACCCCCTCACTCACTTTGCCACTCATCATCTCTTCCCTCCCTCCCTAACTCTGTCACTAGTCACCCCCTCTCCCTCCCTCTGTCACTAGTCACCCACTCCCTCACTCTGTCACCAGTCACCCCCACTCACTGTGTCTCCCCCTCACTCTGCCACCACTCAACCCCTCCTTCCCTCACTCTGCCACCAGGTACCCCCTCACTCTGCCACCTGTCACAACCTCCCACACTCTTCCACCTGTCACCTTCTCCCTCACACACTCTGTCACCTGTCACATATGCATTCACACAGACACTATATACAAAAAAGCACATGTAGTCATCCAGACATACACAAGTGCATTCACACAGACTCAAATACAAACATGCATTGATACACAGGTCTTCACAATATACACATCCAAAGGAATGCCGTATTATGAGTTATATTTAACATTTATTTAATGCACATATATTTGGCCTTCAAAGGGCCTGGGATCTAATTTTGCCCGGGGGCCCCAAAGGCTCTCAGTCTGCCCCTGCATTTAACATATGTGTTTAGCTCCTCCCTTTAACCCTCAGGACAGGAAACACAAACAATTAAATAATTAAGCATACCTTCCCCTGGTATAATAGGAACCCCATCAGCCATCACACCTCAGTCAAGTAACAAGACGAATATCCAAAAGAGGGTGGGAAAACCAAATGCTGCCATGAATAATAGCTAGGAAAAGAAAATTACAGTAAGTATGAATACATTTTCCGTATTCCTGGCTAATCATGGCACCATTTAACATATGGGATTCCCCAAGCAATAATGACACAGGGAGGGAAATACATGCTACAAAATGGTTTAATAAATAAATCAGCTCTGAGGATTAAAGGAGTTCAGGACAGACAGGCCAAACTCCGAATCCGAGCGAGAAGCCACATCCATTTTTTAATGTTTCACAAAGGTCTTTAGGGATGACCAATTTGCAGCCTTACATATGCTCTCTGCATGAACACCTGACTCTGCAGCCCATGAGGTAGCAATGGATCTTGTGGAATGAGCTCTGATACCTTTGGGAACAGGAACATCCCTAGCTTTATAAGTCTTGGAAATCGCTGATACTGTCCAGGAACGAAGAGTGCAGACCTTTACGAGAACCCCAAGGTATAATAAATAATTGAGAGGATTTTCTCCAAGCAGCTGAGCGTTCAATATACATCAGCAAACATCTCCTAAGATCCAGCATGTGACACCTTGACTCCTCAGGAAAAGAAGGATACTGAAAATAGGCAGGCACGACAATCTCCTGTTGGAGATGGAAAGGTGTAACCACCTTGGGAAGAAATTCAGGTCTCGGACGGAGAATGACCCTATCATCGAAGAAGGAAGTGTAAGGTTCCTCGGCTGATAAAGCTCTGATGTCAGACATTCTTCTAGCTGAGACTAGAGCAAGCAATAATGGGGTCTTCAGAGAAAGGATGTGCATCTGAATTTCGCCAATAGGTTCGAAGGGAGGATCTGTGAGAGCCTGAAGCACCAGAGGCAAATTCCAAGGAGCCGCCAGTTGTCTAATAGGAGGTCTAATCCGTAAAACGGCCTTGAAAAACCGAACCACCATAGGATGAAGCACCCATCGAATGCCAGAAAGAGCAGAGATAGCTGAGCAGTGCACTTTAAGGGTGTTAAGACTAAGACCCTTCTCCAGGCCAGCTTGTAAGAAACCCAAGACTTGAGAGATTGCAGGAGGACTCATGTTCTGCACGGTTGAACTTAACCATATCGCAAAGGCTTCCCAAATTTTGTGGTAGGTAGAAAAAGTGGAGATCTTTCTGGAACATAAAAGGGTAGAGATCACCTGGTCCGATAAACCCTGTTCCTTTAAGGTTCTGGATGAACCACTGCGCCTTGTGTCAGTAGATCTTCTGTGACCAGAATTTCCCAAGGTTCCTCTATCGCCAACCTCTTCAGAAGAGGAAACCAAGGACGTCTCGGCCAGAAGGAGATTACAGTAATCACTCTGCAACGTTCTCTGGAAATCTTCCTCAGCACCGCATGAATGAGAGGAATGGGGGGAAAAACATACGCCAGATGAAAGGGCCATTTCATTGAAAGAGCATCTTGATCCAGTGCATTCGGATGGAATTTGCTGGATACAAAACAAGGGACTTGAGCATTCTGAGCCGTCACCATGAGATCCACTTGGGTAAGACCCCAACTCTGGACCAATTGTTGAAACACAGGCCTTGAAAGATGCCATTCCGTGGCTTCCACCTGATGTCTGCTGAGGAAGTCTGCTAACACATTCTCCTTCCATGGGAGAAAGACCGCACGCAGGCCTTCCACATGTATTTGTGCCCAGTTCATGATTGCTGTCATTTCTTTCATCAGCGAGATACTCCTGGTGCCTCCTTGATGGTTGAGGCAGGCGGCAGCCGTCTTGTTGGCTACTCTTAATTTTACCCAGGCTCCCTTTATCTGGTGCTGAAAGTGGAGAAGAACCAGAGATGAGCCCTCTGAGGCCATTCTGCTTGGATGAAAGATTTTCCCAGATGTGCTCCCCATCCGTACTGACTGGCATCTGTCATGATGACTACCCAGTCGATTTCCTTCAGAGGAAAACCTCTGGAAATGTTTTCCTCTTTCAGCCACCACCGAAGCTTCCTTTTCAGATTGAGAGGAATGTGGATCTGTCTTTCCCATTCCTCTAAGCTGGTTCTGAAGTTCCTTAGAAGATACTGCTGAAGTGGATGCAGGTTCCATTGCGCCCATCTGACCAGCTCTATCATAGAGGTCAAGGTACCTAGGAGCTTCATAAACTCCCTTGCAGAAGCAGACGTCTTTCGAATAAAGGTGCAAACACGATCCTGTAGTTTCAACCTTCTCTTTTGAGCAAGAGATACTGTTGTCGGGAGGGTATTGAAGCTTGCGCCTAATAACACCAGCTCCCTTGTTGGTTGTAGATGACTCTTCTCATCGTTGATTAGCCATCCAAACTGAGATAGAGTCTCGAGGACCAGCTGTCTGTGTCGAAGCATTGTCTCGAAGTCTGAAGCCACTACCAAGATATCGTTGAGGTAGTGGTAGATGACAACATCCCTCCTTCTGAGGAAAGCAATAACTGTGACCAGCACTTTCGAGAAAGTCCTCGGGGCTGTACTTATCCCAAAGGGAAGAGCCTGAAACTGGAAGTGCTCCTTTTTTACACAGAATCGAAGAAACTTCTGATGCCTGGCTGTGACAGGAACATGGAAGTAGATAATTGTAGAAAACAATCCAGGCACTCCAATAGATTCCAAATTTTAAGGCAAGTTATTTGAACCAAGAACTACAAAGTAACGTTTCAGCCCTATCAGGGCTTTTTTCAAGCTAATGTAGCACATAAAAAAACACAATATATAGGTGTGTACAACATTCATATAAGTGAATAAACATGTGGTGTATTATCAAACACATATTGTTAACAAATGGTAGTGATAGCTTATTAATTAAACAACTAATTAACTCTCCAATAGTAATCATAGTATTAGAGGGTGTCAAAGGGATCATGAAACATCAGCCAATCATATCAGTAAATCTCCAATAAAGCTTTAATTTAATCAATAATATATCAACTGTGTTCAATAATGCTTATTAACTTGCAATACAGCAACAGGGGGATTCTAAGTAGCTATATTTCCGGGTAAAATCACATGTTAATGGCCATGTGATAACTGGCCAATTACTATGTATTAGTCACATGATCGTGACTAAGAACTACCCCATAAGCCAATAGTACCACACCAATTGGCCACATGATGTCAGTAGTAGTCACATGTTCGTGACTACTCATTATCAAATCCAATTGCATATACGCCGGCTCATCGTCCGGTGCTATATATCAACGTGGGCCAATCTCCGTAATGTGCACGCGCGAAACAGCGCGAACATCCAAAGGGCCCGACCCTCAGCACATGCGTGCCGAAATGATATTCCACGCATGCGTGCCGAGCCACTAGTGCGCGCATGCGTGTCAACGTGCGCATGCGCACCACCTATTGCAGATCTAGATAGAGCGTAGAACAATATATTAATATATAGAGCAATATTGTATGGCTGATGTAGAACATGATTTCGAGGACAACCCCACACATAAGCAATATTATAAATATTGATCACAACATAATGTCATTTACATATCTAAACCATTCTATATTAACAAAGAAACATCATTTGTAAAACCAATGTCATTTATAGTGACAGTCACAATTTTATACGCCTAATTAAGTGAAATTAAAGAAATATTAATAAATCTACTAAAAAAATAACAAAAATAAAAATATCTTAAAGTGAAAGTATTTTTTAAAATTATTTTTAAAAAAAGGAAAAAATATATAAATAAACCTCCATATAATATTATTGAGGTCTATATAGTGTGATATGGTTATAATTAACCAAAATATAATTTCTATGGAAAAAAAATTTTTAAGAAAAAACTTTTTTTCTAATTTATTAAGGGGCTAGATGATTGGGACTATCACATATGACATATAGCTAACAATTTTATTCAAAGAATAAATTAAATTATGACAGTAGTAGAATTAAAATGAGAGTAAACTCTAT